CGCGGGCGTCCCTCGGCCTTCCCGGGGTTATTGCAATCAGGACAGGGCGGGGATCGTGGCGGGATGAATTGTCATTGTGGAAGAGAAAGGCGAAGTCTGTGTCACGTACATGATACATTCACACATATGTGTTTATTTCTGCATACAAGTGTGCGTCTGTTTGTTGCTCTTCACTCTCTCTCTCTCTCTCTCTCTCTCTCTCTCTCTCTCTCTCTCTCTCTCTCTCTCTCTCAAAAAAGACAATGCACACACAAACACAGAGTCGTTCAACTTGAGAAATCTGTATTTTTCTGCTTTAAGTTCCCGTAAAAAAAAAAAAAAAAAAAAAAAAAAAAAAAAAAAATCCCCACAACATCGTCTCGGTCCAATATTGCAATACACCCGGCTAAGGTCCACGTTTGCATGGATCCCCGGCAATACTGTCTCGGCGCACGACGTCCCTTCCACGTGTGTGAGTTTCACCCTCTTGAGCTTATTCCTTGAGCAGTACCCGGTTCCCCTCGCTCTCACGTGGAAGGGAACGTCCGCGGCGACAGTGCCTTCTGCTGGAGACGGCGGTCGCGAGGCTGCTGTTCCTCCGCCCGTGATGAGAGCGTCTGGCTTCGTCACTGGCGGAAGATGCACTTTCTGTTTTTTGTTTTTTTTACTCCTGTTTATTTTGTTTTATGTATTGCATGGCACCGATCGAACACAAGGTGATTAAGGCACACAGGGAAACGCGCGGGAGGGGAAAAGGTCGAGAACCGTGTTTTTATTCGCATTTATTGGTAGATACGATGGAGATCAGTGGAGAAACCGGGATAGATAAGTTATGGGTCCTTTTTGGTTTTCTTTTTGCTTGTCTCTTACTTTTCGTGATGAACTGAAATCCCTATGTAACAGAGGCGGCTGTGGCATAGTCCGCCTATCATCTGGGTCTCGGATCTAGGTGTCCTCGCCGAGACGGGCGCTTAGACCCCGTGTATCGAGTAGACCTGGGCCTCTAGCATCCCGAACGTCAGACCCGGATGTCATGGTCAGACTCTCATCTGTCAGCCGGTCATTTGTTGCTTTCTCGTTAGGTTTGTGCGTCGAGGTTTAATCTTTCAAAATCTCATTCGCATGGATCACTGTTTCATCTGTAGAGGGATTTTGCATGACAGTTGCGTTCGTCTCTAGATACTAGCTCTTTGCCATACTTCGCTTTGTATTTCTTCTTTTCTTTTTTTCGACGTAGACAATTTCACTATTTTAGGCTACGTAGTTTTCATTTCCTTAGGAGGAATAGTAGAACTATTGATTTTTCTTTTTTTCTTGCGTACATCTTTTTTTTTTTTCTTAATTAAAATAAATAGAGAGCACTGCTCATAGTTATGCTTCGGAGAAATATATGTTGTTGAGACACAGACCGTTCTGCTTGCATGTATGACTATATCTCAGCCTTGTACTCGGCTCTCCTTAACAACCTATAGGATCCTCTTGGCTGTCAAAAATAACAATGAAACACTAAATTTCCAAATAATAAGCTTTGGAAGGAAAGAAAAGAAAAAAACAGTGAGTCCTAAATCCCTGTTGAGGAGAGCTGAGTGACATGTGACCCCTGGCGACCTCATATTGGGCTGCGGTCAGACAGGGTCGCTTCTAAGCCGGCTCAGAGAATTCAATAACCTTGCTAAAACACGGCTTTCTTTCTGGAGTGAATTTGCTCTGTATGATCTCCTTAGCTAATAGTGTTTCTCGCTTAATTTTTCCTTCCTGTCGCTTCTTTTTAATACCCTTTCTATGTCATTTTCGCATTTTTGGTGAAGATTTAACCCGCATGCAATATTTTACTTTTAAGTTTCGCCGAGGTACTTCCTTGTTTCAGCAAGTGAATCCGCCGGGTTGGGAATGGAAGAAAAAAATATTGAAAAATGTTAATATCAGCATGGCCATAACGTAAAGAAAAAAGACGAAACAAATAAATACACAACATACCGGCCAGGGTAACAGATAAGGATCCCATGGACAGCCCTAAGCCACCATGGTAATATCCTTGGAGGATCAAAGAGGATTTAAGGGATGACAAAAAAAAAATCCGGTTGTCCAAGACATTGATCCAACTCCACTTTTACGTCACCGCAGCGTTGCTTCACTTGCCCAACGTAAAAAAATAGGACTATGATCATTCTGAAAACGCTGCATCTTGCTTGAAGTAAGGAAGTGCTAGACTCTTGTATGACTGTCACTTTGGTTTCTAAAACAAGTAAACACATGAGGGTTACATAAAAATCGGTTTCGAGGCTTACGAGCATCGGCGTATTCTGCCGCTGGGTTCGAGAGTTCAAGGGAAAAGCATGGCGCCGCAGATCAGAAGCCAAGCCCTTTGCCACAACTCATTGTCAGTCAGAAGCTAGAACTTCAATTATGAGTTAATGAAACCCTCCGCTGTCCAATAGGAGGCTCATATGAATGTCTCTTTTTTTCTTGCAATCTCGAACGCGGTACAGGCTTTTCACCCAGAGCCAGATGTGAATATGATATTGACATATATGTGTATAGATTTCGGGTCCTTGTCTGAGAACAGTTTCTAAGGGGGGCCTCGTTCTCGTTCACTCCCTGTAGCTGGCGAGCCTAGCAAAGCCACAAGGAAATTGCAATCTGCTACCAACAAGATTCTTGCAGTTGGGGCATTTTTTCGCTCACATGTAACACAGAAGAAATCATCAGGTATATGTTTTAAGTCCGGTGGGTGGTCTTGGTTGTAAGAGCTCTGTCAACACGTTGTTTTTTACCTGTAATGTCTTGGACCTACTCGAGAAGGAAAAGAAGAAAAGGAAAATGTCGACGGAGAGTATGGATTATCTTTTTTTTTTTTTAATCATCAGAGGAGAAATCTTTTCCTCCGTCTTTTTCTCTCTGTCCCTTTTGAACCCAATAACTCGAAACCTTTTTTGCCATTCTTTTACACAACCATAGTAGTGTAACGGCAGCCCTGGGATACGCTGCTTACTTATCTGCACACTGTCAACTTCCGAAACTCTTGACAAAATGGATATGTGACTCCAGTTCCTGTTTTTCTATTAAGTAGGACTCATAATTCACATCTTCATTCTCCTGCACATCATGTTCGGTCACGGAGCGTTATGGCATAAGAAGATTGGAGAGACATACCTGATCATTGCTTTTCTGCTAAATTAAAGGGATTTGAATTCTGCTTCTTTGGAGTACGGAAAGATCTTGTTTTCTTGTTCTTCCACAGACATAACATAAGAAAGAAAAGAAAAGAAAAAGTCCTGTTTCACTGATGTGCCTTCTTTGCTGTGTCAAGGCTGTATTTTAATGGATGTTTCAGTGTAACGCTTTTGCACTTACAATTGAAGGAGAAAAGGCATAAATTTTTACATAACAAAACTAGACAATTAAAGGCCTGCTTAGACTGCATGCTTTAGCTTTATTCTGTTGCTTTGTTTTAGCCGAGTAGATGCTGTAGCTTGACAACCAATCTCCGGATCTATCATGGGTACGTATTTTTTCCACCAAAAGAAAAAGAAAACATTAGTCAAAATTTTATAGCAATCATTTTGATAGGCAATTTAATCATTAGTGTCTGGTTTTCCATAATTCATAATGACTTTCTTCCACATGTTGAGGCATAAATAGGAACGGTTTGCTCTGCTTTGGCTTTTTCACTTATCCTAACCGTACTTTCAGTATATATAAGGATTATAGATAACAGTCTCAAATATAATTCGTTAACCCATAAAACTGACTTACAACTCTCTGAATCTCGTGTTATTCACTTTTCTCTCGCTTCCCCCCCCTAAAGTTTCTACATTGTGAAGTCACGCCAGTTTACGAATAGCTACGGTACTTTGGAATGAAAATATGTCAGATATGCTGAATAATGGTACATTTTTACTAAATAAGTATAGTTCTACGAATACAAACTGACTATTCATTTATTTATTCATTATTTCTATTTTGAACCAAAACACAAAAAAAAAAACTCAGGGATCATAACAAATGTGATATCTAAATGGATTTATTACATTATATGCTTGAAAAAAATATCTCTATCTCCCAAAAATCGAAATTAGTCTATAACATAACACAATGTAACCTTCATGTTTATTATCTAACCTTAAATACACCATAAACTAATTTCGTTTGTTCGCCATCTTTCATTTATATCAATAATAATAATAAAAAAGAACTTAAAACAGAATTTAATAAGAATTATACTTATATAGTGAAATGAGTTATGTATATCTGTCTCCAAAATAGATGAGTAAAATTAGACATAAGAATAGCGTAGCCGTTTTCTTGTATGTGAAAAAGTATAGTTATATCTCTTCTTTAGCTTTACTTTCAAAAGAATTCTATGTATAAAAGGTCCATTGAAATAGCAAAATTGTAGCCATTGTCCGTAATATTGTTTTAGGTGTTAGAAGTTTGAAGATTGTTATAATTAGGGATAAAAAGGGAGAACACAAAGCGAAAGATAGAATAATTGCAAAACAATAGATTATACAATAGTGTCGTTGTGTAAAACTTTTCTGTGTTCTTTTTTCAAGAATAAGAAGGTAGGTGAACTTTTAACTAGAGTCTAAAAAAAAAGAGATTCAAAAATCTTCAAATATCCCCTTCAATAAATAAAAAAAAAAAGTTCATAAAAGTTTCAGATAGATTTTTTTTCTTTTACAACCTCCCCTTTCAATAGGCAAGTCACAATGGGCTGCCGATCATGAGATGCAACATTATAAGAAATTTTCCTGCAGCGGGAATAATGTATTCATGATGGTATGCAAATGGCAGTCGCCTATTCAATAATGTTATCGCTTATGAGGGAACGTATCCTGCACGGTAAGGGATGGAACGCCTTCAAAAATGAGCTGGAGAAGATGCAGCTTATATATTCTTCTTCCCTGATTTATTATTTATCTATTTTTTTTCATATTTTCAGTCGTTTATTCATTTATTCATTTATCTATTCATTTGTCCCCGTCTGTAAATCTATTCGTTTATTTATTATTCATAAGTTTATCCGATAGATTGTGGACAATTCCGTTTCACTTCGCTCTTTACTCACGTCAACATCTACTCTTTAGATTCCTTACGTATATTAAGAGTCAGTTTTCAACATGTCTGCGGTTTCACGAAGTTTGGTTTCTAAGAGTTGCATGCCTTCACTCGGAGCAAATACCTTATCGAAATAGATATGGTGTGAGTCTGTATCTTCATCGAGATAACATTCATCATATTTGTTCAGTATAATTTCCAAAGTTATCGTTTTCACAATTCGTAATTACAAGTAAGAAACAGAAAAAAAGCTAGCACGGTATTCACAAAGACCATAAATTTGCACTAAATATTAAACACGTATCCTGTGTCATTATACATGTAACGGCAGTGCTCTTCAAACCAGACATAGCTCTATGTATTATTGGGAAGAATGTGGAATGAACTCTCAGTACTCATATTGACACTCCACACACTGTCCAAAAAGCGGTAGAAGGTGTCGTAGTAGTTCATGTGAATAGTTTAGAAGGCATCGAACGGTTCCCCTTTGCATTATGTCAACGACAGTCAGTATGCATACCTAAACATGAAATTGTATGATCTTAGTTATGAATGTAAGATTGATGATCACCTAGAATCAAAAAGAAAAAATGAAGTCATTAATGTTGCGTCTCACCTAGCAATTAGGTTCTTGTGTATGTGTAAGTATGTATATATGTATATGTATACACATGTATGTATATATACATACATACATACATACATACATATATATATATATATATATATATATATATATATGTACCCCCACATACATGGCACACGCATACATGCATATATTCCATAATACATGCACGTACGCTGTTAGGACCCCGCCCCCCCCAAAGCTGCCATGACAAAATCACGACCGGTTCCGGGTGCTTTCTAGGAAAGGAAGCAGAAGACGTGACCCCCAACACCACCACCGAACCCGACGCCGGCCAAGGGGGAACTGAGGAGACTGCTGACGCTGCTGCTGGCGCTACTGCTGACGATGCAACCACCTTTGCTACCAGGTCCGACGAGCCTCTGGAGTAGATGTTTTCTTTGGCAAAAAATCAAAAAGTGTCGCCATGACGAGCACTCCTCCGCTGTGTTATATCTTTTGTAAAATGGCGAGTCTCTTTTTCTTCTTGTAAAGATCTGGAACGCCCTTTGCTCTTGCACCATCGAAATCTCAAAGGGTCGTGATATACAAATTAATTTAGCAATGTAACGGTACAGAGAACAGCAATTATATTCTCTATCATGCTATTTTTTCTGTTTTCGAATTTCTTTTGAGAGGAAATTTGGGTTTTGTACCTAAGACGGATTAGCGTCACTAAAATATGCTTCAATAATGCAACTTGAGAAGTAACAACAACTCCACATAAAATATTTTAGTATCTCCTTTAAAAAGTACAGCGAGAAAATTCTGTTACCTATTTTCTTTGTCTGGGGGACTATGGTATAGTGTGACTCCCGGGTCGCTATAGCATTTCTCCTCCCAGCCAGTGTAGTATTTACGTTATTTAGTTTTGTATTTCGTTATTTTGAAGTGATTTTTTTGAATATTGTGAATGGATCAAGATTGGATATTGTATCAAAGATTATACCAGGTTATTTATAACTTGATTTGATTGTGTTTATTATGTAAATTAGCAGGCAGGATCAGTAAACAAAATTGTGCAATTAGATTATGACGTACGAGACGGTTTATGTTTCAGTGTAGCTTCTTCTGGCACTTTCTCACAGGGTTGTGTATAATGTCCGATTCCTGAATTCTTTACCATAACCCAAGAAGAAGCAAGCTAAACTTGCTCGCGCTTCCACGCTGCTTGCACGCACCCCGCGCCAGACATTGTGGAAGCGGCACTTGCGTGGTGGTTTAGAATTCAGGACTATGTATGTGTTCCCTGTGTTGCAGTATAACGTAAGTGATGAGTGATTTATGTGTGCGCAGATACGCAACACTATCCCGGACCTTAAAGTTTGTAAATAAGAAAGAGAGAGATTACTGGCTCACTGACGAGGCCCACATCCAGGGTCGGATCCACGGAGGTGATAGTGTTGCTGCTTGTGCAAATGCGAGTTCGTTTTGTTTTGTTTATTTTTTTCATCAGAAATGGGCTGGGAATCATAATAAATGTAGTCAACTCGCACGCAGGAACAGTCAGTCCAAAATCATTTTCAAAAAAATGATATATAAGTTTGCTAGTAATCAGCTTATTTGAAATATGTTGTGATTAGTCTTTAAAAAAGAAAAACTTCATCGTCGCGTTTCGATGATTTCATTACTTTATTAATTTATTTATTTTGCGTCTGCGTCTACCTTCTTCCTGATGATTATGTCTTGTTCACAATAAAGATGTTAACCACAGGGTACTTCAGCCTCTTTCCATCTCTATCCTTTTCTTGTGTTGCGCTAAAAGGTGCAGTGTTTATGTGGTTTCTCCGCATAATGAACGCGTGTTTATGCACATGAACACATCTGGTTATAGA